TATCACTATTGTGAGTGTCATTGACAAGAGTAAAGTGCGTATAATCTCCTAATAATAACATACATTGGTGTTAGAATATGATGTCATTGTTGAGAGGTGCATAATTTTAATATTACATACTAATAGTAACACACATTGGTGTTGGGGTTAGATGTCACTATTGGGAGATGTCCATTTAAAAAAAAAAAACTCATAGATTTCTTATTCTATATTATATCAATTCTCGGACAGTCTTTAAATGTGATGTTTGGTTTCAAAATCGTCTTCATTTGCACATCTGTATTATTCACGACCATTAACATAGATATTATAATTATGTTTGAATTTATATTAATAAAAAAAAATTTGAGTGAAAAAATTGATGTTAATATATGCAACTAATTGTTTTACTAAAACCCAAAAAGAGTGAATTGTTGAGCTATACCTTAAAATAAACCTATGCTACAAGTCTCATAGTTATGTATTGTAATATATTTTTACTCCCAAATTACATTTGAAATTATCACTATTGAAAAATATTATGTCACTATTGGGAATAATGACGTACCATTCTTATTGATCAAATTTACAAGTTAGAAACTAATGGTTTTGGAATTTTACGTCATTAACGAGAGTGTGTCACTCATACAACATGACACTATTGGGAGGTTTAACCTAAGATACGTTGAAATATTAAATGTAAAGCTCCCTGAAAGGTTTAAATGCTGAGATATTCAATTTTTTGGGATTTTTCCCACAAATTAAGAATCTTCTTAATGTAATGGAGGAAAACTTTGATTTAAGAAAATATTTCTATATCATAGGTAAATTTCCTATTATTTTATTTGTCAATCCACATATTATTATTTTCAACTCGAATGTATGTCATGATGAGACATGCATGACTGAGGAAGCTCCGCTGTTCTTCCGCTACATCCAAATGCATCACAAGAGCTCCATCCTCAAACCTGTGGCTCTCTCATCTTCTATCCGCGGGAATTCCTACTACATAAGCCCCACAAGCTCCTATTCCTGCAGAATCTCGAGTACCTGCACTCTCTCTCCCACATCGCATCTTGCCTCGAAGCCTGTCCAGCTTCGCTGCAGAAATGGCCTCAGTCGTCGCATCGTCCGCCGTGGTGACCCCTGTTGCAGCTCTCGCTGCTTCCAGCTCCACCAAGAGCTCAGATGTCATCTCTGTGAAGGCCGGACTCAAGGCTGGCGTCTTCGGAGGCAAGAGCGAATGGCAATCCAAGACCGCAACCAACGGCAGCAGAGTGTCATGCATGCAGGTAATTATGGATTGGACTTTAGTCGTCAGATAGAGAGCAATGCGCACGATCTCATTGGGAATGTACAGTGAATTTTCGTTGAATGGAGAAGTGCTTTCGCCTCGTCCTGTTTCTGATTTGCTGAGGCGCTGGGAATGGCAGGTGTGGGAGCCATACAACAACCTGAGGTTCGAGACGCTGTCCTACTTGCCCGCTCTGAGCCAGGATGCTCTGGCCAAGCAGATCGACTACGTCATCAAGTCCGGCTGGGCTCCCTGCATTGAGTTCGACACCGTAAGTTCTTCATCATATTAGTCCTTCATTTCAACATTTTCTTTGCGTCTGTTAGTACTGGACCGCGAAGTGTATGCATAAGTTTTGAAGATGAGATCAGCTGGAGGGTATGGTTTTTACCGGTCCTGTTTTCATTTTCTGTTCTACAGCAAGGAGCCGTGACTCGTGAGGGCAGCACCATGCCCGGATACTACGATGGTCGCTACTGGACCATGTGGAAGCTGCCCATGTTCGGATGCACCGACTCTGCTTCAGTGTTGAGGGAGATTGAGGAGTGCAAGAAGTTGTACGGACACAAGTGCTACATCAGGTGCTTGGGATTCGACAACACCAGGCAGGTGCAATGCGCCATGTTCATCGTCCACCAGCCCACCAACAAGTAGATCATCGTGTGCCCTCTCAGGGCACTCAAATTAGCCGACTTGAAAGTTTTCCTTGCAATGCGCTATGTTCATCGTCCACCAGCCCAGCCAGGAAATTAAGGTTGCCATCGTGCTAACAGAGCTTAAAGGGCTGAGGATAAATCTCGACGATCATATCCGCGGGCTTAATTTAGTCCACAAGAGACGACTAGGATTTAGAATCGCTCTAGAGCCAGGAATGTAGAGTAAAGTCCCTTTTTACGCAACGTGTAATTGTTATGTAGTCTTGCCCAGACGGAGTTTGTACCATTTTGTACTGAATAAACGCTCGGACATCTTTTCTACTTGGGGTTCTCTGTGGCCAGATGGTATTATGGATGAATAAATCATGCAAATCTAATGATTTACAAACTGATCATGAATTTATCTGAATAAGGCGTATTCAAACAGAATTTAATACATCTACTGTAAAACTGTTCATTTACAAAACGAAGCATATATTTTCGTTGAAAACATCCAACATTATGAATTCTAATCAATATTATTCATGACTTACTATTACCGATATATTTTTGTAAATTTATTACACAATTGAATTATCAAATATAAATTATATTTAAATTCTTACAAGATGTAGCAACATTGCTTATTCGTAGAACTAATCATCACAACTACTTTCCAAATAATAAATGATGAATTGAAGATGAAGAATAAAGTAGAAATGCCTATAAACTATGCTTGATTTTTATTATTGTAAAATAAAAATTTAAAATATCTGTGTTTTTAGATATATCAAATCGTTTTCATCAAAATTCGTTTATTGGTTATCATATGTTTTAAGAAAATTTAGTTTATCGTGATGTTAATAATTATTTTGAACAAAATAAATAAATAAATAATATTATTCAAATCCATTTTTTAAACTTTCAAGTAAAATAAATAACATTTGTAATTCAGAAAGTGACTTTTGAATTTTTGCTACAAGTCAGGATTTCTAGATTTGATATTGAACACACACACACACCTAATCATCGTATATTATTGAATATAAAAATTAGATGCATAATCAAGAGTTTATGGCCTATATGCTTTTGAAGATTCTAAGAGTTAACTTCAATGAAGTATCCTTCTAAGCGATCTTTAGCCAAACTGAAGTGGCAAACAGAATCAAAATGAATTGTCATTCAGGTAACATATTCAACCTAAATCGAAGAGACTTGAACCGTATCCGAAAGCAATTTTTTTGGATTATGACCTTCTTTTGATCATGTACAATGATATTTAAAACAAGTTGGTTAACTTCTTACACTTATCAACAATTCCATCAAATTCATTTTCTCTGGCATTTCTCAAAAGTATGAAGAGTTGAAGGGAAATATGTCATTGATTGATATTGAATTTGATTGCGACAATCTTAGTTGCGAGAACGGCATCTACAACATACATTTTTAAAGCCTCTCTTCAAAAGACCAAATGTGTGTAAAACAAATGTTTTACCTTTTGAGTAAATCAGATAACTTGTAGATGCTACCGAGTGCCAACGAGGGTCTAGATGGATGGTTAAAAATTAAAATAGTCAAAGAACATAAATTAAACGTTCTTCCTTCTTGAAGCATACTAGGATGAGCACCGATAAGTATTCGGCTTATTTCATCATAGAACTAATGAGGTTACAATACTTTACATCTCTTCAATAAGGTGGTAGATCTAAGTGAATACCACGGGTCAAAGAAACTACTGTTACGATATTTATTTCGACCACGGATTGCAGGGACACCATGGGGCCGCGGAAGTGGATGAGAAATAAAAAGTTAGGAACATAACCTTACTGGTCATGATGCATGTCTACTGTCTTCTCGTCTACACAATGTGCTATCCTCCGATAACCTGAAGTTAATCAATTACCTTAAGAGCACTCACTGAGGGCTAGCATTTGTCGATATGTATGACTGTTCATCCATTCTATATGAAGTTCGGATATTTCCGTTTATGAGGAGCAATGACAGAGGAAACATACCGATACACGAACTGTTCGTCATGAAGGTTCATCCACAAAAGTAAACTCTGAAAATTCTAACCAGCCTGATAAGACTCACCGTATCTCCGATCCTTTGCATTATGACCATATGAAGCAAAGGAACTTTTTCTCCAGAACTGCACTTCATTTCCAATGAGACATGGCTAGTATCTATCCGATCGACCGCGCTGGCCCCATTTCAAACTAACTTTTCCTTTACAGAGAAGTGGAAACCAAGGTTCTGACTCTTTTCATCGGAATTTATCTAGGAAAACTACATCAGAAAACAATACATTGGAAAACATAAGCATCACTGTGACCAGGCATTTGAATCTCGTGTGTCCGATTCTCAAGCAGAATAAAGCACGACTGCTCTATGCAGAATAATTGGTCGCGGATTCGTTCATTCGACTATCAGTTCCTCTCATCTTGATCCTTGAAAGGTTCGCATGCTTGCGTTACGAACTACGGGATATTAAGAAATGTGGGCTATTTAACAGAACATGAAACGTTCTCATTACCCGCAAGAATCCAGAACAGGAACGAGATCAAATCGTACATATAGGAAATGATAAGAAATGATAAGAAGTTGATGTACAGGACGGACCACTACTCTCGCTCTCAGTACCACGGCTGACCAACGAAGCAGTAAATGGACCAGAAAGAAGTAGTCATCAATTCTTTTAAGTTTTGCCTCCTATGTGCACATGAAGTCCAACAAAACTTTATCCGAGTGCAAGTCCACTCAAACCTAGTTGACCAGTCTGAATGACATAAAGGTACAGCGAGTTGTCAACCAAGCTAGAGCAATTCGAAAACCGGCTCTGTTAGAGATCAGTAATAAGAAAACTCCAGGATTCAAGCAATTTGACCGTCAAAGCAGATAAGAACAGCAAACATAGAACCATGAAGTCCCTACTTGGCAGTATTAGCTACACAATAGATAAATCACTGATTAGTTGCATGCTGCAACTCCGGAGTAAAAGTTACTGAAGGCTTGCAAGTTTGCACACGACAGTCGACGGACGGAAGAGGTGTAAAGATTCCAACAAGACGGAGAGAATTCTCCTGGTAATTAGGAAGCTCAAGTGAAACTCTCAGACTAACCCCGGATCGATTTACGAAGGACATTTTCTACATGTGTTTTTCAAGCAGAGACCTTTGTAGTTGATCTCATGCTGCTATTCTGTATAAGTAAGAAAAATATCACTCTCGAAAATGTCTTCGGCATCATGACATTTTGTCCTCTTAGATTAAGCTAAGTTCCTACCTGGATCACTTTCAGCAATCTGCAGCATATCTGCGAGAGCAAGAAGCTTGGGGAAGTGTTCAGTGTTCCGAAAATGACTCCCATCTATACAATTTAACTAACAAAAACACAACACTAGGCAATGGTTATCACCTCGGATCCCCAAGCCGCAAGATACCCCAAACGTCTAGCATTCCGGGAGGCACAGCGTTGTCGATAGCAGCTCTTACAGCTGCTTTAGCCACTGCCGTGACCTTCACTGGAGGTGTAAGAAGAGGACCAATCACAGGAATCTGAGTGGCCGGCTTCATATTCCGCAATATGAGCTCCAGAGGGCTGCCGATTGCGCTCAAGGGTATGTTCATATTACCAACTCTGCGATTTCCGTGAATGAACCCTGGCCTCAATATGACACCACCGTACGGAAATTTCGCCCTCAGAGCATCTTCCGCAGCTCTCTTGCCTTCATAGTAGCCTCTCAAAACAAACGAAGGAAGTCCGAAATCAGCGGCTGATATGTACACAAAGCGCTTCACACCCTTCTCGGCAGCGACGTTGATCGCAGCTATGTTAGCGTCCCCATTAATTCTCCGCATTTGAGCATTGGACCCAAAACCTCCGACGCACGAAACCACTGCGCTGACATCGCTCAACTGGTCCTTCCATTTCTCCGATTCAAACAAGCTTCCTCGAACCCATACCACATCGTTCACCCACGACTCTGTCACTGACGGTCTGCCCGATCTGTTGAGACTCAGTACGGGAAGACCTCTGTCAAGAGCTTCCTTGCAGACATGAGAACCGACGAAACCGTTCCCTCCCAAAACCAGAATTCTCGTCCGACTTTTGGGCTTGGGAATGTCTACAGGCTCCGCTTCTTCGACTTTCAACTTAGGGATCTCTTGCAGACGAGCTGACGATGTCGAGATTGGTCTACCACCACCAGCAGCGTCCACGGAGCAGATCGACTGCCACAGTCGTGAAACTTGCCCTCGTTGATTCTTCACACACCGCGCTGCCATGATCACCCAATCTCCTCCTCTTCCACCTTTCGCCGCTCTCCGACCAAATCTTTCGACTTTCCTTCTTGCCGCACCGCCAGATTTCACCTCCCTCTTTCTTGCTCGCTAGGTGCGCCGCAGGATCGACCGTCCACGATCCCGAGCTTGACTTATGGCAAGAATGCCACTTGATATAAACCCCTGATCGTTCACTCGACGAATCGTCGGTGAAATTGCGTCATTGATCACGGAAAAACCCTCCGAGTTTCTGCAAATGTCCCAAACACAGTCAAATTTGCAACTCTGTGCTGCAGAAAATCCGACCTACTCACGGACCTGGACCCGATTCGCAGCGAAGGTGAGAACCACGGCGAATTCCACATAAACCTGTCATCTGCATTTACAGATTCCAGAACGCCCGGTTTCGCTCTTCCCGTCACTCTCCATGGACTGCTGGACACCTGGACCTTAGAGCGTACACGTCTACGGTGTCTCCCGCATGTAAAGTCAGCTAAACTTTAGGTCTTCCTTTAAGTTAAAGAAGGAAGGGATATAAATCACTCCTTTGGCCACCAACGACGACCGCAGTTACGGTAAGGACAAGACATTTCTTCGGCGGAATCATTACGACGTGGACTCCTACCACGCACCCCATGGCGCCCTGTCACACCCGCGCCCGAATTCTCCGATGCAAGTCCGCGGCGGAGGCGCGCGACTTGGCTTCATTTGGCTTGAATTAAGTTGCATCTGCGGCTGTGGTGATAAACTGTGATGTGCGTGGTTTGATTCATGAACATATACCAGTTGTAGCAACGGAGTTTGCAAGAGCGTGGTTGCATGCGATTGTTTTGGTCGGAACATAACTTCTCGATTTATGTTTTCTGGTTGTTCTATTGATTTTGATGTGTTGATATGGATGTATCTCTTGAGTAAATGTCCAGATTTGTTGTAATTTTGATTGCATGGGTTGAAATATTCTGGATCCATTTCGCTTGTGCTTGACGATGCACAAGCTTGAAGTGTGTTACTAGCAGTTTCTCCCAACTATTCTTATCACTAAACTTTGCATCGACATCCAAATTGCTTTCTTTCATCCAATTTAGAGCATGATTCCGGTCTGATTCAGCTTTCAACAGTCTCAATACTTGTATCTCATACCATATACAATATGAACATTACACAGTCACACAATGTTTCAATATACATCCGTGTCAGCTTTCTTATCATTATCAATTTCTTTATGAAGTCAAATACATCTAAGTCATCCATGAGGATATAATTCAGATAAGAATAATTACCACAAGGTGCAAGGTGGCGTACAAGGTGCATTGTGTACTTGGTGTACAAGGTGCATTGTTGGCTTCTAGAAATACCTATAACATACTATATTACAAAAATAATCGTAGGAATGTAATAAGGATTTTTTCATTTTTTAAATACTGAAATTTTCCATCCTTTTTTAAGTCAATGTATAAATCAATCTGATATTTTAAAGATAAAAGATAAAATATTGAACAACTTATGCCTTGAACATGTACATAGGAAAAATTATTTCTATAATTTGAATATTAAAATATTAAAATATAAAATATAAATATAAATAAATATATCTTGTGAAAAAAAAATTACTTATTTTTCAGGATTCAATTTTTAACATATTTTCTATAAAAAAATTTAGAATTAAAATCTAAAGATTCATTGCAGTTCAATACATATATAAAATATTTTGACATGATGATGAATTTGTGCAAACCACGGTGTGTATAATAATGATCAATATCAGAAAAAAGATACACAACATTGTTAGTATTAACTCAAGTCTGAGGGTAAGTCTAGTTAATTAAATACTAGATAGGGCTAGATTTAGTATTCCTGCTGCATACTATAAAGGAACAAAAGTTATAGCTCTCCCTTAACATTATAGAGCTTTCAGTAAAACCTTCTGGTTTCCTGAACATAAACTGGCAGTTGCGAACCACTTATATATCGAGATCGCATGTCTGCTTGTGCTTATGTGTGTGTAGGTTAATGGTGTTTAGGTGGATATCTGGATGTGCTGTCAAACTATGATAGGAACTAATAATATTGGGTCAAATAAATATTCAACACATATTCCATTCTTTGCCTTGGACTACTTTTAGTTTTTTAATCCATAAGATCATTTTTAATATTTTTCATATCCATAAATTTAAAAATTATAAATATTAAGGAAAAAAATATAAATAATAATGGAATTTGTTGATGAAATTTGAACCTTTTAGAGAGTAAAAGATGAAAATTATTAAAAATTAAATTTAACAATGATTTTATCGAACGCATCATTTTTTTTTTAAAAAATCACTATACATTTACATTTTTATAATATGAATGACATTGCAGTCATTTATAATTTTGACCTTCAATAAAGACTGGTTATTTGAAAATTATTTAAATAATTTTGATAAATCGTCTTGAAAATGAGTAATTAAAATTTTAAAAATTAAATTTATATTGATACTTTTCAATGTATCAAATTTCTTTTTGAATTTGGGTTTTAAATGTGTCAAAAGTTGAATTTCAATATCTTATTGTTGCAAGCTTCTCATTGCATAGAAAATATTTTATATTTTTTTAGGTTATCAAGTCTAAGATACTAATTATTATTGATTAGTTTTTGGCATTTTTCACTTTTTTTTATCAAAAATGATTTCAACAAATCATAACTATATATCATTTGATCAAATTGACATAAATATTTTTTGAAAAAGTAAATAATTCCAATAAAATTTTAAAATTATTTATTATCAAATAACTTAATCTAAATTAAATTTGAATCAATTTTTTTTTAAAAGATTGAGTTAAGGTTATGGAAACAACGCATGTTTTAAAATAAGAAGTATGCATATATAATAAAATTAGTTTTATGAAAAAGATTTTAAACCTACTAATCCACCTTCTGTATTTATATAATTATATTTTCAAGATTATATATTATATACAGTGCAAAAATACACATGTGATTGTTTTCATCAATATCATCATAACATTCTAGGAATCATTTCTAGAGTTTAAAGTAAATACGAAACTATGGATAAAGTCCAATTTAAAATTTTACTCTATGTTTATCACATTGGATGCCATTCTCCAATATTCTAAATTTGAATATTGTTGTCCATTGTATTGTATCATTGTTATCTTAGGATGATAGCATGAGATATATAATATATATCAAACAATGATTTTTTTTCTTTTTGCCTGAATTTTAATCTCTTGACTTGTAATTTTACAAGTTATAAAACATTACATTTTCTTCACAATCAACAAATACAATTTCTAACAGTAGTATAGATTTTATAAATTTGTTCATGACATCAGTTCTTCAATCCTTTCGGGAATATCGAGTTGTATAAGTAGATTTAACTCAGATTTTAAGCGTCAAATTGGTGAAAAAAATTGAAGGGTTAAAATAATTAAACCTAAATGTGTCAGTCTAAAAGATTTTTAATATCTTGGTGAGAGATGTTGCAATTCTAAAAGGACTCATTACAAAGCAAAACTTCAACGTAGGAGGTGAGGGTGTATTAGACCAGTCCTGTTATTGGTTCGATATGAGAGAAAACCCGACGGTACGGGAGTTGCTTTATCAATCATAGGAAGAAATAATTACAAACTAAATAAACCTAAGCTGCGAAATGATCACGCTACCATATGATTTCTTAGTTTATACTTACAGCTCAAAACTATCCTGACAGAACTATCAATATCCGTAAATAGGGAAATTAAGTTGACATGACAATTTTGGAACGTTGATACTTGAGATGGAAATCTTCAATATCCGATCAATGTCTCCATAGTTGAATCAAATCACGATAATCTCTACATAGGGGAAGCACTCTCGCAAATAAATTTATGGAACTTTTATATGATAATCTTTATTGTCTGATCATTTTCCCCAAGTAATGAATCGAACTACCATAGCTCCGAAAGAATACTAACACCTCTCCTCTGTCTAGAAAATACGCTTTCACATGATGGTTGCTACCAGAAACAGCTCCGTACTGTCACATCTCAAAGTCGTGGAGGGCTGTAGAATATTCATCTCACACACTCCTTCCATCCAAAGGCATTACTAAATCCTTGTACTGAGCTCTCAACAAATTTTGGCAAAATCTACATACACTCACGTCAAATTCTTTAGACACAAATTAAATAACAGAAGAATGAATCATAAAACATAAGAATGAAGATTCTGACCTGCGTAAAAAAAAGTTCCAGACCGCCCTTCTTACTTCTGAGTTCCTGCAGAGGAGGAGTATGTGTTGAGGATGCGTTGGATCAATTCCTGTGTTTGGCATTTTCATATCTTATATAACTAAAGCAAGTCACCTCAACAATACACTGAAGTCAAATTACAATTCTACCGATTCGTGGAGCTCCAATAAATTGAAGAAGTAAGTGGTGATCTATGTACATGGGCGTGCAATTCGAAAACTGAACCCACTTCGCATTTCGATCCAAAAGTAGACTCACATATCATTGTCAACACAGACCAGAAACTCTTGATGCCTATGGTGGCAAATGGACCGACAAATTTGAAAACTTTACGTGTTCTGGAAAAATTCAGAACCTTGTCATAAGTCCTTTTCTTCCATCGGACCATTTCAGAAGAAAATCGCTCAATCGCGGACGCTGTCGTTCAACACAGCTGCCTGGAAGTGTAGAGTCGTGTAAACTGAACAAAAGGTCGGGAAAGAGGGTGGTCGTTGGGGGTCTCAGGTCTCACGCTTGTCGACAGAAACAGCTAGAAACGAGAAAGGAGTCGTGTCGTAAGACCGGAACGAAACGGATACATGAAACGAAGAAAGGTCGTTTTACCGTAATTACATTATCTATTGTAATTATCGATCTAATAATCTAATCGAAAAAGAAGATTCCAGAAGATTCTTCTTCTTCACAACCATCAAACCATCAAACAGCTTCGATTTGCAAACAAGAGGAAAGCATTGTCAAAATGTGTCGTTTAAAATCAATAAGTGCGGGTGCCACGTACATCTTTCTCTTCACTCTCAGAGAAGCTAGAAGTAAGCAACAGTTTTCCAACTTTCAACTTGAATTTCAACGGAAAACCACTGTAAAAAACTTCAATTTCCGTTCTGAAATTTTTGACCAGGAGTTTAGGACGTTATTAACGGAAATCACAGCAAGTAGCAGCCACCTCTCCTCTCTATTTAAGGGAGAACTCAGACGCTTCTCCTTGTACGTTGTCCATTTCACTCTTGACAGTCCTCAGGACAGCCCAGACCCGAGGGATTCAACAAGGAGAACGATGTGCGCAGTAAGATTTCATGTCACCCTCGGAGTTTGCAGTAGTCCTCAGAAATCTCTGAAAACGCAGTTGCATCACTGTAACGGAAGTCCTTGGCATGCCAAACAGAAGATTTGATCCGTCACATCCTCTGCCATTGCACAAAGGGTGAGCAGTTTTTCAGGTTTTCTTTTGGCAGGTAAGAATCTTGACTCTCTTTTTGCATGATTTACGTTCATGATCAGTTTTTCATGAAGTGAGTGTTGCAGATTATGTCAGATACTGTTGAGAGCGTAGTCCAAGGGATGTAGCAGTGCTTTTGAGTGGAAAGAATATCTCGTTGTGACATGAATATCATACCGCCATCTGTTTTTCTGTTAGCAGCCATCCTTCGAAACTTCAAAGACGAGAAGTATCAGTCTTCTTTAGGAGATATAGTAGTTTAAATGCATTACTTGGAGACATTGATCCTATGATAAAGACTCTCATCTGAAGGATCATTGTTTCATGAATTGCTTTTGTCAGAATAGTCTGGTTTGTGAGGTATTATGTAGTTGGTGAGCAAGTTGGAGACAATGATCCGTGGATGAGGATTTTCGACTAAAGGATCATTGTTTCATTAATGTTTTCTTACAATACTCTAGTTATATAGGGTTTAGGTTTACTAGTAGGAGCCATTGAAACGATGATAAAAATTCACATCTACAGGATTATTGTTTCATAAATGTATCCTTGAGAATTGGCTTATAATATAGGGTTTACAGTAGGTTTCGTGAATTAGCTGGAGACATTGATCCGACAATAAAGATTTTAGCTAAATGGATCATTGTTTCATAAATGTTTCTGTAAAAATGGTATGATTATTTGGGTTCGATAGTCAGTTTGGTGATCTAAGTGGTGATAGATATAAGATTTATGGTAGTTTTAGTGGACTAGTTGGAGACATCGATCCGACAATGAAGATTTTCTTAAAAATTATCATTGTTTCATAAATGTTTCTGTTAAAATAATTTGTATATATAGGGATGAAGTAGATTTAGTGAACTAGTTCGTGACATAAATCCGAAAATGAAGATTTTAATCTAAAGGATTATTGTTGCATATATGTTATAGTGAGAATAGTCTGGTTATCAGAGTTTATGGTAGATATAGGATTGATCCGACTATAAACATTCTATTTTAAGGATCCTTGTTCCATACCTTGTTCTGTTAGGATAGCTTCGAGCCTGTAAGTTTAGATTAGATGTCAGGTGGGAGCATGATTAATCCCCATCTGAGATTCATCAAGCTTGTAAATTTCTTGATAAATAAAGTAACTCCCGTACCGTCGGGTTTTCTTTTATATCAAACAATAAGAGGAGGGGTCTGATACAGGTAACTTCGTACTTCGAAATTAGCTTCTGAATTTCATCCAGTCTCATGCATACGTTCGAGGTTAGTGTATTACCACCTTTCTTCCAAATTCGCGAATTCCAAACTTTATCCCTCACAAATTTCTTCGGAACTGCAACGCCTCGTTTTTCATGCTTCATTTAACCTCGTTGAGATGCTATAGAGTAGATTACATATTTCTTAGTCCATGTGCAATCTTTTAGCATTTTGATAAGCAAGTTCGATTGGCCTTCAGAGAAACTACTTAGGACTCATTTGGATTATTCCATTGGAACTCGAAAGGGAAACTTGATGCACAGGGCAAGATCGCAAACTGAATCACGCCGACAAACCTTCTGCCCTAGATCTCTTTCATTATAAGGAATTCTAGCGAAAGTCAGTATACTTCGAGAAGCAGTTGGAGCAATCTTCGAGCCCATTTACTCGCGTTGTGCAGTGGGTAAGATCGAGTAGCAACGCTTTCCTCTTTTTTCCTTTAAACTGGAACTCGTTCCTGCAGAACGCAGCAGATATGGTTTTACAGTATGCAGATACATTGTTAGAAACGTGCTTTGTCTTGGGTCGTTCCACGGCCTTCCATGATCGGCTCAATTGAAATTTATACTCCATGACTGTGTCATACAGTATATCACATGTTGAGATTTATTCTATGACACAGCAACTGATCGGCACTCGACGTTTTTTCCTTGGATCACCTCTAGAAACTGAACTGCCGTTAATCACTTGCGGAACCCGCCGATGTTTGCAGGCACAACAGTACAACATCTGGTACACACGTCCAAACGCAAGGAATAGGCTGAGCGCTTCTTCCCGTCAGGCTTCAATTCTTCACATGACAGTAGCGGTTTCTCCTACAGTGTCGTCGATCGTTTCTAAAACTCGAATTCATCATCATTCTAATTGTATTACATGCAGATTACTTCAATTTCTCGCAACTATCTTAAATATATTTTGCTATATTTGATAAATATTAAAATGTGTATACGAAGGTACTTTTTGTCGAGAAATATGAAATGAAAGAATTCAAGTCACAGTAGTGACCATTGGTATTTGAATTACAGTTTCATCATGCTCAATACTTCCCATGCAATTTATAAACATAACGGACGTATTAGAATTGATGAAAATGCGCTACTAGAGATTCTAGTGGAAATTAGAGAGCGAATTCAAAGAAATAACCTATGTAAATTTGTATCTCATACACTTCAACTTAATTTGAATAATAAGTAGTAAAATATTTAATGAGGATAAATTTTCAGATTTGAAAAAAGTATATTTAACAAGTTTGAATAATCATAACAACAATGTGAGTATTCAAAATTGTTATGAATTATGTTTATTTTACATCAAACATTGAATCCTACTTTCGTATAACAAAACCTATTTTGAAAAGAAATTAAATCACTAATAGTGTAGGGTATAAATCATAAGTCTCTGCGATTCTCTTTTATAATTGACACTATATATGTGCTAATAGTGTCACTCATCGGAATACAAAAGAAATACGAGTAGTTAATTTCCCATGATTACTAGTGAGAAAAATTTGCGACTACAAATGTATAGTATCTACCATCAATATTTGCTACTCACTATACATGCCATTTCTCTTGTGATCGTGGAGCTCGCCACAAGTACCAAACGATCACGCTCGTCACTTCAAAGTTATCATGATGTTCTTCCCCAAGATCATGATAGAATGAATACTATTCCTCAATCCAAATTTAATATTAGTGTTTGAGGCTTTACTTTATACATGACAAATTGTTGCTTCAAAGTAACAATCTCCCATCACCTTCCTGTCAGTAGTGTGAAACGTTCACTATTGTGACCTCAAGAACATGTGGAAAATGTCCACTAGTTCTTGAAATCAACATAAGCAAACTCCCGACATACTTACAAAAAAATATAGATAGATAAATAAATATTTTTTTTGGAAGTAAAACATTTTCGGTTTTAATATCTAGAATTGAGTTGAGTCTATAAAGTACAATTTTTGTGAGAAATGTAAATCCAGTGTCTTCCTATTACAGAATGATCAACCCTCGTTGCTTCGATTGTTGATCATTCGCCTCACAGATTGAAACGTCACAGGAAGAATCGTTTGGTTCCATATGATGAAACCAGAAATTATGACCACACTTCTATAACAACGGAAAATGGCAACAAATGAGAATTTTGAGGAGTCCAACAAACGTAGACTACTGTTTTGAATGTATTAGGTTCTTCGCAGTTACAAACTTAACTACCTTGACATTTTGGTATCACTACATTCTGGGATGGACATGAAATATAAATAAAATCCTTGTGTTTTTGCTATGCAAGCATCAGAAAGGTATTCTACTGGATCTTACCCACTGCATAACGTGAGGCAATGGGATCGAAGATAGCTACAACTGCTTCTTAACGCAAGTTCATGCCACGTATACTGAATTTCGCTTATTCTTTTTCTAGTGAAAGATATATACGGCAGTAGGATTGTCTGCGTGATCAGTATGTGATCTTGCCCTGTGCATCAAGTTTCCGTTTCGAGTGTCGTATAGAAGCCCACTTGCGACCAGAAACAAAAACAGTCAAGACCTTTTCGAGGCAATCAGCGGCGAGAGAACACAATGTTCTATCCTGGGCGAGACAACTGCTTGCCCAGAGAAGAACTTCTTTTCCTCCGGATTGAGAATTGCGGATGGTAATCCTAGTCCTCTGAAAATAGATGACTTCAGGTTTTACCCTTGATGATGCTGAATCTTCAGCGCTTGGTTTCTCCCCGGCTATGTATAAGAACCTCTTCGTTGTTATTTACAGTAGAGTGGTACGTGCAGCTGCAGATCAGTGTATGTACTCGAGCCTAAGCCTCAGCTTCACATTTTGTTGTCAGCAGATTGAGTGTCCTTGGTATTTTCGTCCTCACCCTGAGAGCTTGGTCTCAAGTTTTCTCCCTGAAATGCTCATGGAGCCGGACATGGACATTGTCGGGAACAGGAAGTGTGATCCTAGCGGCAAAGCACGGATGACGAACTGGTGATAGGCGGCAGCCAAGGTAGCTCCGATGAAGGGACCAACCCAGAAGATCCACTGCGAAATCAGATGTCCCAATTTATCAGCCCTGGCATCCACTGTCAGGCAGAATGTTCATGCGAGTGGGAGAAACTGGATCCTGGATCCTGGATTCTCTGAGGATTTCAGTCAATGGAAAGAATCTGACATAACACATATAAGTGGGATAAGTTGAGATACTATGACTCACCTGGTCATCCCAAGCTTGCTGGTGGTTCCAGAGAGCAGCCGGGCCGAAGCTTCGTGCAGGGTTGATTCCACAGCCAGTGATGGGAATGGTCGCCAGATGGACAACGAAAACTGCAAGCCCGATGGGCAATGGGGCGAGCACCTGCAAGATCACAGCGCCTCCAGACATCAAGTTTCGTCTTCCATTTGGACCAGTTCAATATGATTTCTGTGACTCTGATCCAGCTTCAGAAGCTGAAAGTAGATTCATCTGGAACTCACTCTTCAAGAACACTCAGATATAATGGTTGTGGAACCTACCGGCACATGCGAGTCCCTGGCCTTGCGCTTAGCATCAGTGGCAGAGTAGACCACGTAAACAAGGAAGAAAGTCCCAATGATTTCTGCTGCCAGACCTGTGCCGATGCTGAAATCTGCACTCACGGTATTCGTCGCGCCGCCCAGGACCTGGAATGGATTTTTCTGCAATCCCTTCACGATTCCTGCTCCACAGATACCCCCTGCCATCTGGGCAACCATGTATATAAAAGCCCGAGGAACCGAAAGCTTTCTACCCAGAAGTAGTCCTAAAGTAACTGCGGGGTTAATGTGTCCTCCTGCCCACACCAATAGATCAATTTTAGAAAGGAGTTAAGCTGACAACTGCCATATATCACAAACATAGAGAACGGAATTCACTCTGAGAACATTTTCATCGTAGCACAATATTATAACCACAACTTCATCATCAAAACGCTCATAGCTACATCGTTGAATGAAACGATGGAGCCTCGGATGATCTCACTGCAAGTGATTCTAGAGCCGGTTAGCAATCGAAGGGCGAACCTGAAACACCAGCTGTGCAGTAGACAAGCACAAATATGGTGGCTCCGAAAGACCATGCAACACCGAGAGCTCCGACTCCATCGGGGCTGGAACGGCCATTTCCAATGGCAGCAGAAACGCCGATATACACGAAGAGGAGAGTGGCAATAAACTCGGCGATAGCAGCTCTATAAAGTGACCATTTATAGAATTCATCGACAGTCCACAGAAGATGTGGCTCTGGTTCGATGTAGTCCCTGTCCTCAGTTCGTGCCGCGCTGCCCCCTCCGATCTTAATATTACTGGTATCTATTTCATACGGTCCTCCCGTCTGCTGATGGGCGCCTGCCATCTTAAGCCGAGGGGCGAACTCTACGAAAGCTGCAACTTGCTGTCGACCGGAACGGAAGAGCTCAAGGCCAACAGTTCTGGTCCACGTCAAGCGCAACAAGTGATAAGAGCAGCCGGTCAAGGAGCGGTGAACTCCACTTCAGCTGAAAACTGAAAGGTCAATCTGATTGGAAGACTGTCATCAAAATTCGAGGTCGTTGGTAGCTTGGTAGGGATGCCTGAGCACAAGTCCCTGCTACAAATGAAATGCGTCGCAAGTAAGGTTTAGACCGAGGATAATATTCGATTTGATATGAACGATGACAGTCTGAGTGGAAAGTGCGCTCGGTTGGATTCTGCAAGCCAGCAGCAGCCAGCGGTCTATACTTTTTATGCTTCTCCAACAATACACTCCTACGGAGATTATAAGAGGTAGCACTAGAGAATCAAAAAGATACTGGACCACCAGTCCTTCCTTAGCACTTTGAAGGACCAAGCTTTACCTCTCGGCTGCTCCAGAACTTGAGAAATTAAGCTCAATTGACAGCTTTTATAGGAGCCCAACTTCAGGATAGGGCCGGCACCTTTGGGTAAGTAATAGTTTGGAAATAGTTTACATGAGAGCCAGATCATCAATCAGGAAACATTCACCATCGAATCCAGTTGATGGTCATTTGCAAGCATGTTGCAGGAATCTGCACGCAGCTGATGGAGATGTATTTTCTTCTCCGGATGATGCCCGATCTCTGGCAAACGTCTATGGGATGACAGAGTGAGACATGCCCATTGTTGTCAGATCTTTGAGGACTGGAGCTGTAGATCACTGCTGCTGTTCACTCGTCCTCATCGATCCTGATCATCAGACCATGTGGAATCGCAGTTCACATCGTCGTGATACCCTGGCGACTTATCCTATTCTTCATATGTTTTATCATTTGCTTTGGTCCTGTCCAGTCCTGCCATGCTGAGCCCAAACTCTTCACACCGCTGTCACCTCGATGGGTCACTGATTGGTCTAGTGGGAAGCAGTGTTCGACTCGCCCTAATCAGCTGAACTGACTAAACTCCAAGATTGCTTAGCTCTTGGCATATGCAAAGAACAATTCTGTTGGCCTTCAGTTTTATCTCTTGATTCTCGTATGCAAGAGCTCACAAGTGCCTTGGGTTCCCCCGGGACTCGATAGATAGTGAACTTATTCATATTCTTTCCAGATTTGGTGGCTCAGAATTTGGTCTCGTGCAATTGTCCTTTGTCTGGGGAGGAAATGTTAGCCTTGTGTATAACGCGCTATTCAAGACGTGACTTATTCACATTACTGAAAAAGCAAGCATCCTGCAATCTTTTATGACGGCAGAAAGCAAGCTGTCTGTTGCCTCTGGGCAGAAGTCATGAAGACATCGATAGATTAATGAAACTGAAATGGGAGTAAGACGCATCGAGTATACGAAATAAATATTTTAGGCATGAGATTCTCAGGTGTTATATGTGTCTGCGACTAGTTCCCCCTCATGGGGCCATTATGGAAGAATGAACAAGCTGTAAAGCACATAGCTCGAGCATGGGAGATCTTTGTCTCTAGGCTTCCTGACAGGGAAGAAATTTATTTTCTTTCAGAGGATGTGGGACATGTTTTGTTGATGCTTTAAATCTCCATTTACGTAAAATATAAGACACATTAGTCTTTCTCACTGTCGTGGATATCAATGTCTGCTGTAAAGGTGATAAGCTCTGTTCTCCAAGTTCTAAGTCTGTCGTTGCATTAAGCTGTAGATCTGACGACCCATATTTCTATGCTTTTACAATGAGCAGAAAAAATGAATCAGTTGATAATCCTTCCGAGGCCATTGATAATTTTGCAGTTGGCACAATATTATGTGTAGAAAAGAACAACGAAATACTTCATGTCCCATAGCACTTCAATAATGCTCTATGGTCCCAGTTCGTTGACCTGTTGACAGCTGAGCATACCGAAGTTCGTATTTGTATCTCAAGCACTTGAAACTGGAGTTACAATGGGTGCTTGGAGGGCATCTGTTGATCTTTTGAAGTACATTTAGATTTCGTCAGAAACTTTGGTGGGTGATGGTTCTGTAACATCTACGATGGCATCCAGCAAGGAAGTGCTCGTATCATCGCGCTGCTGGCATATATCATAGGCGAGGAAGTGCTGCATAGTACACAGAAGTCATTGCGTTCTTTCCATGCTGACGAATCCCTGAGCAGTATATTCATCGTGGCGTTACGTCAAGTCGACAGTATCTAGAGAAGATAACAAGCCTTTATCAAGACTGGATCGAATTCTCGACAAGAAAACACAAGATCAGCAAATCACGGACAGATCCTAATGTCTTACATAAAGTTAGTAGTTAGTTTCCGTTTGCAATACGGAAACGTTTGTCAGCGAATACAGTATGGATTGAGTTTGGTTTGACTACACCATTCTTCTCAAGGAGACTATGTAATAGAAAGTAAACGATTGTCGAAGAGACAGTGAAGAGAATCTCTAATTTTAACAACCGGTGGCATACTTCACTAAGCATGTGAAGGCACCAGTAAAGCAGCTGTTGGCAAAGTGGATAGGATCACGGTAAAGCCAGATAAATACACCTTATTCTCCATACTCTACTTGAATTATTGTATCTTCCTAGATTGTATATCATGTCTCAAGGAAATGACGAAACAAGGATCAAGAAAACTACGCCAGAATAAAGGATAAGGAAACGACGAAACAAAGCACGTAGTGCAGGAGAGTATTTTAGGCAAAAGGGCCCAGAGCATGTGATTCGCAAGGTAGCATATTAATTGGCGGGAAGACAGGTGAAGGAAAATGATTATTTTGTTTCCCTTCATGAAAGTTTCATCACAGTGGTGCTCTACGTTCTTGTTTCTGTTGTTAACAGTGGGTCCATCTTCTCTGAATTCTAGTAGTATGCAGAAGAACCAGTCATAAGATTGAGGGCTTATAAAGACCTCTGGAAGGTTTTCCATTGAAAATTCTCTGCTCCTGAGTCTTCTCTAAGATTGAGGTTAGGCTACTGGGTGTTTCTAGAATCATATACACTTGCTACGACTTGACAACGGTGCATCAGGCTTCTTTGGGAATAACTGAGAAGCCAAGGATCGTTTACAAGGAGGTGTATCACAGTGGTTCCGAGGGCGAAACTGAAAAAGGTTCGAAATTTTCTCAGTCTGCTGAATGTGGTTCAATTTGGTATCGAAGACAAGTGACGAGCTTGATAACTTGACTGATGATCGCCACATGAGAGTATTGTCTTGACAGCAGCAGCTGCAGTTTCTGCTCTGATATAGAAGGTCAGATCGATGTATTTCTCGCAGCTTTAGTGATTTGGCTAGAGCTGAGGCAATAAAGACATTCAGCATGAAGTCAACTCAATCTTTACTCTGCGAGTGTAAGCTCCTCAACTTAATGGGTCTCGCTTGGGCACAGCTTTGACCTTTAAAGTTTTACCGGACTGCAATTGAGAATTGATCTGAAAAGAAGTTGGCTATATCTGCTACTCACAGCGTCTGTACATGAGAGATAGTACAATAGATGGCTTATGGCTAGTGTCTTGTGATCTCTTTAAGCACATGTCCATACTACATACATGTCCATGACACGGGCACCACATGAGATAACTAATATTATGGTCTTCAAACGAAGACATGGTTATGGTGTACAGCACCTATTACATCTGAGGACGGCGTGGTTCTCTTCTGTTGACCTTCTTCAGATGCGGAGAGGATTTCGATATCTCCTCTACTCAGATCGTTTCATCATAGTTTGTCGGTTTAGTGTCCAGGCGATAATCGAACACCATGATCCAAGTCATGTCTAGATTCTGTCCTGATCTATCTTCAGCCTCTACTTACCTCCATACTTGACCTTAATATGATAGCTGGTGTTATTCACAAATTGAGACTCGTAGCGAATAAAGTTTGACTCGAATATGATGTTGCAGCTTTCCACGACTAATCAGATGCAGATTTATTAGACAGGTGACAAATGTCACGCTTTTGGCCTTTTCTCAAAGGCGAGAGCCTTCTATTGAAAAGTAAAAAGTGTTCAGGTAGATTTTCTCCGTCGTTAATCATCAAATGACTCATTATTTGAATGTTTCATCTTTTTTTAATCTTTCTGGTGGGTGGGAGGAAATCATTCGGTTTTTGATCTAGTTGTCAATAACTGCCGTTTGCTGTTTCCTTTGGCAGCAAACTTATAACGTGGACTTTTGATCAAGTTGAGGTCTTACAATACTTGACCGATAATTAATTACAAGAAACAGTTGAGTGTAATGGTTGAGAAGAAATGTTATGACTCGGACATTCTTCAGCAACAGTTGCTCTGTTTCCAGTCGCTTTTCTCTAAAGTGTTCTTCAGTACTGTGCATCTGACGGTGGAGCACGGATTGATTCGCTCCTGTCTTCTTCAATTTTCATTGTTTTACAAGCACATTTTTCTCGTGAATAAACATCAGATTCCAAGGAGTTTACAGTGCCTCCGAGAATTTGCGCATACTACAAATCATTGCATCTGGCAGTAAGTGTAACGGAATAAACGGCCACTAGATTTTGTACTTCTTCTTCGAGGTCATGCTCAAGCACTCATTTGAGATGAAGGCAGGGTATCCACATCACTATTGAACAGTGTAATAAAGGTGAAGTGTAATAATGTCCAGTATTCTGTACTACCTTACTGCTAGTGCTAGACCGAGTGTGAGATGCTTTTTCTTTGGTGTGATTGAGTTTGTTCAAATTTCCTCAGAACCTCGCTCATCTCCTAAATGCCTTGACATGAACCTAGACAGTCTGAGTTAAACGTAACTTTCAGAGAAAACTTCTTAGAACCGTTCTCACAGCAGCCAATTGAGCGTAACAGGATCAAGTCATGTATAGAAGAAGAACGGTGTACATAGAGTGCATCTGGACGATGTACAATGTATAGCATAAAATACTGTTGCTGCACCGTGGCACATCACTATAGGTGGCCAGAAGATATAATTCGGTCCCAGCATCTTGGAGACTCTATCAGCTGTCCAGAAGAGGTTGTAACTCATGATCGAGGAATCCCTGTGCATTCCTGTTTCATATCTAAAAGTAGCAAAAGATGACGATAGAAGTTTTACATGCGTGCTGTTCACTTGAGTGTCAATCTTTACAGGATCTTTTCTATCCACCGCAGTATGGACGTCAGTAATGAGGAGGACGCAAGGCATGGAACGAGAGAAGTCGCGAATTTTGTCAGCTTGAACACGAAATATTTAAGGTACAAAGGACACTCGTGATATATATATCAGCCACACGATATGCACAGCTCAATTCAATCACGTGCACCTTCCTACAGTTTCCTAGAGATTAGCTTCGATATTCCAGAGAAATCTGCTATTCATTCTTGCACTAAGGATCAGACTTACCGACACACGTCTTTTTCACCAACCTCCATTCCGTTGATCTGCACCTCATTCGCCAAAGGAGGGTCAGAACTGTACCTCAGACTCCAGCATCTCCTACTGCTGCTCCGACGGCAGCATCTTCGAAGAAGGACGTTCGTCTTAACAGTGCACTCAGATGGGAGTTCAAACAGAAGTCATACTATGAAGGATTTTTTCCTCCTCTTTAATTCCAACTTACACAATGCTTACGCATGTTTGACCAACTCCAGAAAAGAGATGGAGGTCTTCCTCTCACTCAACGTGCATTTGTTGGCTAGATTTGCTGCATGAAGCTGGAATGATTGGAAGCAAAACTGAATGCCAAACTTAGAAAGTTGTGATATGTCCATCTGATCCTTCTCGATTTGTTTTGGTACTTAATTGTCGTGGAATCAGAAATCGAGCTCTCCTCACTTCCACCCGTCACTCTTCAGCTTCGAAACAAATTACGAGTTTGCATGTGAGAGATGCCCGTACTGTAATGCAGGGAATTACCTGCGCAGATTCATCTTGAGAGTAAGAATTATTCTAGAGCGGTGCAAATGTTTTGATTACTAGCTACGACATTCTGTCATACGTCATCTGAGAGTATGAAGGGAATAATCCTCATGCATAGTTTAGCACATCTTAATTGAATCAATATGAAGTTTTACATCCTAGGCCCCTCAAGAAAGTCCGGGTCGGTTATCTGTGATGCAGCTGTAAATTGACATGCAGTGGATGGCATCCTTCCTTGAACTAGACCACCACTTCATATACTAAACCTTTCGAGTTAAGGATTTGAAGAAGTTTCACTTTGAAGATCAACCTATCACCTGTATGTCATAAAATATCACTTTCATTGTGGAGATAATTTTTAATCAACTGCAAATTATTTTGAAACATTGATTTTAAGCTCAACGTTCATACATCAGCGGGTGACGGCCATTATCGGTGTGCGTAAGCTCCTTGGAACTCTAAGAGCTCGGCAGTCGGATGACGTCTATGGCAACACAAGAAGCGATATAAGTAGTGAAAGTAGCATACACTCTCATTATATGTATAAATATATGGAAAAAATATATTCACACATATGCTAAGACTCGCTCACGCTGTCTTTCGCTCAAAAATCTTGGCTGATTTGCGCCCCATTGCAATTTGGGCTCCGAATTCGAGCATTGCCGCAAAAAGGTCTTGATCATTGCCCCGAGTCGGCTAATTGCCTTTCTAGCCCAACCGGGTGGCGGTACCTTTGTGGACACCAAAATTCCACAACTCACTGTCTTCATCTACACCTGGAACTAGTCACTTGATATGATGCGGTCCATACCAGGGCTACTACACCGGATCCCATCAGAGCTCTGCTGTTAAACGCCCTTGGGCTGGGATAGTTGACCTCCCGGTTCTTCTCTTGATAATAATCAAGAGAATCTCTATATTATTAAATTTTGGAAAAACATTGTAAGAATTCCAATTTTATCCGTATATTATAGAATCTTTTTCAAAAAAAAAATCAACAATTTCTCTACATTATGAAGTCTTCGGGGAAAAATCAATTTTATTTCAACCCCCAACTTTTTCCTTCATTATCTTCTCGAATTTTTTTTAAAAATTTATCCTTCTTCCCATAGCAAAATTTGATTTAATATGAAAATGTCGAGATTCTACATATAGATCTTTGATACATTATTATTATTACACGTCAGTCCACTATTTTTTAATTCTATAAACTTTGTGACTAGGATCGGTGAAACCAGGACAGTTGCAGCAGTACCGAACCGTCCGGGGACACGAAAGAATAATCATTTTGTGCATGTATTGAACTGGATCTCATTAACGAAACTACTGGGGACACTATAGTATAGCTTGGACGTAGATTCATTCAGCATTCTATCATGCTCTCGGGACTAGATTCCTGCAAGGCTCTGGACCGAGAAGGTCTGATCATGCGCTGCAGGATGATCACGCGCTGCCTCTCGAATTAAAATCGGGAGTCCAGTGTCGTATATATACTTCGAGCTTTGGCCTTCCATCCCAGTACTAAGAGCCTTCTATCCTAAGCGCCAGTCGGTCCTTCGCAGTGCCTGTCGGCACCTGTGGTCAGATCGCTGACCAAGCCCTCTCTACCATTTGGGTACTGCTAGCTTGCTCTGAATACTGAACTAGGAGCAACTTGCCCTCACAAAAGATTGAAGGACTCAGATTCGGTTACACAGTTCAGGCTCTCACTGTCACCCATTTCGCTTTCCAAATCTCTATCCGTCGCTGTCGATGCCACCAAAGGTATTGAATTCTGTACATTACCGAGGTACGAAGCAACCCGTGGGAGTGATGCAGGACTAACATCGATGAAACTCGAGGCTCGGAGCCTGAGCTTCCTGTCCTAGAGAAGAGAGAGATGTTGTAGTTTACGAGGTAAGTATCTTCAGGAGCCTATTTCTCTCTTGCCTTTCTAAGGTCACTCGGGAGAGTGACGGAGAAGGACAAGATGGCCAGCATGCAAGAGCAAAGTGTTATCGTCGCCGCTTTGGGGAACAAAGGTCAGGATTTCGTTCCATCAGCTTCCAGCTACAATGGAAGAATTGGTGAATCCACAGCTAAGACGGGAGAAGGGCCAGGAGTATGTGGAACCGGCCTCTCATCCCACTTGGGCTGTGGGAGAGTTCTAAAAGTAGTCTAGATTCCTATACACTATTAAACTTATTCTTTAGCACACTGTTCAATATTAATCTGGATATCATGCCCTTCAGCTGACATGAGTGCATGAGCCTGACCTCAAAGAAGTAAAAATCTAGCGACCTTTTACTACGTTCCACTGTCTGCCAGATGCAACGATTTGTAGTAGGCGCAAATCCTTGGAGGCACTGTTAACTCCTTGGAATCTGATGTATATTCACGAGGAAAATGTGCGTGTAACACAGTGAAAATGGAAGAAGACAGGAGCGAATCAGTCCGTGCTCCACCGTCAGATGCACAGTACTGAAGAACACTTTAGAGAAAAGCTACTGAAAACAGAGCAACTGTTGCTGAAGAATGTCCGAGTCATAACAGTTCTAACATTTCTTTTGTTTCGTCATATTCGATACTCGATGCGTCTTACTCTCATTCGGGTTTCAATAATCTATCGATTTCTTCATGACTTCTGCCCAGACGCAACCCGCAGCTTGCAGCTTGCGTTCTGCAGTCATAAAAGATTGCAAGATGCTAGCTTGTTCAGCAATGTGAATCAGTCAAGTCTTGCATAGCGCGTTATATACACGGCTAACATCTCCTCCCCAGACAAAGGACAACTGCACGAGACCAAATTTTGAGCTTCCAAATCTGGAAAGTATATAAATAAGTTCAGTATATATCGAGTCCCAGAGGAACCCAAGGCGCTATTGAACTCTTGCATATGATAATCAAGAGATAAAATTGAAGGCCGTGAGAAGGATTCTTTGCATATGCCAAGAGTTAAGCAATCTTGGTGGTTAATGAGTCGAAAGAAGTGGCAACACTGCTTCCCACCGACCAATATGTGACCCTTCGATGTGACAGAGGTATGAAGAGTTTGGGTTCGGCATAGCAAGACAGGACAGGACCAGAACAAATGATAAAACATTTTGAGGATAGGATAAGTCGCCAGGGTAGCACGACGATGTGATCTGCGATTCCACATGGTCTGATGATGAGGATCGATGAGGCCGAGTGAACAGCAGCAGTGTTCTACAGCTCCAGTCCGCAAAGATCTGACAAAAATGGGCACGTCTTACTCTCGCATCCCAGTGACGTTTGCCAGAGATGGGGCATCATCCGGAGAAGTAAATACATCTCGACTAGCTGCGAGCAGATTCCTGCAACATGCTTGCAAATGATCATCAACTGGATACGATGGTGAACAATTCCTGATTGATGATCCGGCTATCATGTACCCAAAGGTGCCGGTCCTATCCTGAAGTTGGGCTCCTATATAAGCTGTCAATTGACCTTAATTTCTCAAGTTCTGGAGCAGCCGAGAGGTAAAGCTTGGTCCTTCAAAGTGTTAAAGCAGGACTGGTGGTCCAATATCTTTTTGATTCTCTAGTGCTACCTCTTATAACCTCCATAGGAGTGAAGTGGTGGAGAAGCACAAGAAGTATAGACCGCTGGCTGCTGCTGGCTTGCAGACACCAACCGAGCGCACTTTCCACTAAGACTGTCATCGTTCAGATCAAATCGAATAACACCCTCGGTCTAAGCCATACTTGCGACGCATTTTATTTGTAGCAGGAGCTTGTGCGCGGGCATCCCTAGCAAGCTACCAACGACCTCGAATTTTGATGACAGTCTTCCAATCAGATTGACCTTTCAGCTGAAGTAGAGTTCACCGCTCCTTGACCCGCTGCTCTTATCACTTATTGCGCTGGACGTGGACCAGAATTGTTGGCCTTGAGCTCTTCGGTTCCTGTTCGACAGCAAGTTGCAGCTTTCGTAGAGTTCGCCCCTCTCCTTAAGATGGCAGGCGTCCATCAGCAGACGGGAGGACCGTATGAAACAGATACCAGTAATATTAAGATCGGAGGGGGCAGCGCGGCACGAACTGAGGACAGGGACTATATCGAACCAGAGCCACATCATCTGTGGACTGTCGATGAATTTTATATATGGTCGCTCTATAGAGCTGCCATCGCTGAGTTTATTGCCACTCTCCTCTTCGTGTACATTGGCGTTTCTGCTGCTATTGGAAATGGCCGTACCAGCCCCGATGGAGTCGGAGCTCTCGGTGTTGCATGGTCTTTCGGAGCCACCATATTTGTGCTCGTCTACTGCACAGCTGGTGTTTCAGGTTCGCCCTTGGATTGCTAACCGGCTCTAGAAGCACTTGTAGTCAGATCGTCCGAGGCTCCATCGTTTCATTCTGGATGTAGCTACGAGCGTTTTGGTGATGAAGTTGTGGTTATAATATTGTGATACGATGAACATGTTCTCAGAGTGAATTCCGTTCTTCAGGTTCAGATATGGTAGTTGTCGGATTAATTCCTGTTTAAAATTGACCTGTTGGTGTCGGCAGGAGGACACATTAACCCCGCAGTTACTTTGGGACTACTTCTGGGTAGAAAGCTTTCGGTTCCTCGGGCTTTCATCTACATGATTGCTCAGATGGCGGGGGGTATCTGTGGAGCAGGAATTGTTAAGGGATTGCAGAAAAGTCCATTCCAGGTGTTGGGCGGTGCAACGAACACCGTCAGTGCAGACTTCAGCATCGGCACAGGTCTGGCAGCAGAAATCATCGGAACTTTCTTCCTGGTTTATGTGGTCTACTCTGCCACTGATGCTAAGCGCAAGGCCAGGGACTCGCATGTTCCGGTAGGTTTCACAACAATTGTATTTGAGGTTTATTGAAGAGTAAGTTCCCAGATGAATCCAATTGCAGCTTCTGAAGCTGGATCGGAGTCACAAGATTCCTGTTGAACTGCTTCAAATTGAAGACGAAACTTGATGTTTGGAGTCGCTGTGATATCGCAGGTGCTCGCCCCATTGCCCATCGGGCTTGCAGTTTTCGTTGTCCATCCCTACTCATCGTTGTGCGTTGCTTGTGCTCTCTTTAAGTCATTGTCCATGACCGACGGCGGCCGATCGAGATGTGGAAAGTGAAATGGGTGATGGTGAGAGCCTGAACTGTGTGATCGAAGTCTTGAGTCCTTGAATCTATTGTGAGGGCAAACTGTTCCTGGTTCAGTCTTCAGATCAAGGTAGCAGTAGCCGGATTGCACAGAGGGCGTGGAAAGCGATCTGACCACCTGACGCGCTCGCAAGGCACTGCGAAGGACCTAGTGGAGCTTATGATAAAAGGCTTGTAGAACTGTGTGAATGGCCAAAGGTCGAAGTTTATGTACGTCACTGGAGTCCCGAGTTTAATTCGAGAGGCATCGCGTGATCATCCTATAGCACATGATGTCACCCCGCCAGCGGATAAGACTTTCTCTGAAACGAGTGCACAAAGTCATCAATCTTTCGTGTCTGAGGACGGTTCGGCGGGTTCCACCGATCCTCATCATTCTCCGGAAGCTTACGAAATTCGAACAAGTGTAATATAATTATCTATCAAAGATATTAATATAAAGTCATGGATAATTTAGATCAAATCAAATTACAAATTAATTTGCATAATTTCTATATGATAAAAGCATTAGTAACATGTATATATAATCCAAAATTATTAATCAATTTATAATCTTATTTTGTATTTCCTATGTTATATTTTCACTCAATTTTTACAATATATTAATATTTTAATTTCAAAATAATTTAAATTAATATAATAATGAAAATTGAAAAAGTTTGACATAATTTAGAAATTTATGTTAGATAGAAGTTAATTTGTTTGAAAGAAAATGAAAACTTATTGGATTATGTACGGTTTAAAGTTTATAGTTTGAAATATTGATACATTGAAAACTTGGATGAAACAAAAAATAATTAGTCTAGAATAGGATCAACATGATAGATTAGGGGGAGTATGCAATTCTCCAAACCCGATCAAAAGAATTTATTACATGGAAAGACTGTTCTCATTTAGAATCTTGAACGAATTTTTTTAAATCTATCTAAGTTGTATCTGCTTAGATTGATTAGGAAGTGTGTGGTAATGATAACGCCGATAAACCTACTGCCGTAAATTTTTTTAGTAGAAGAAGAATAAGCGAAATTCAGTATACGCGGCATGAACTTGCGTTGAGAGGCAGTTGGAGCAATAGTAGATCTTGCCCTGTGTATCAAGTTTCCCTCTCGAGTTTCGTGTAGAAGCCAACTTGCGATCTGATTGGTTGAGTCGAGGCAGTTGTAGCTTTGTTCCCCAAGTTCTAAGTCTGCCGTTGCATTGGACTGTAGATCTGGCGACCCAAATTTCAATGCTTTTATATTGAGAAGAAAAAACAAACCAGTTGATAATCCTTCCGAGGCACTGATTTCCCAGTAGGCCCAATATTGTGTGTAGAAAAGAACATCAAAATACTTCATTTCCGATAGCACTTCAATAATGCTCTATAGTCCCAGCTCGTTGGGCTGTTGACTGCTGAGCATACTGAAATTCGTGTTCGTATCGCAAACACTTGAAACTGGAGTTATAATGGCTGCTGGGAGGGCATCTGTTGATCTTTTAGAGTACATTTAGATTTCGTTAGAAAACTTGGGTGGGTGCTGGTTCTGTAACACCAACGATGTCATCCAGCAAGTAAGTGCTCGTATCATTAACCTGCAGGCGTATATCATAGGCGAGGAAGTACAGCATAGTACACAGAAGTCATTGCGTTCTTTCCATGCCGACGAATCCCTGAGCAGTATATTCATCGTGGGGTTACATCTAGATAAGGAAAAAAGCCTTTATCAAGACTGGATCGACTTCTCGACAAAAGAACACAAGATCAGCAAATCACGGACAGATCCTAATGTCTCACAAAAAGTTTATCAATAAGTTTCCATTTGCAGTACTCGTTTGTCGGCGAATACAGTCCGGGGACAGTTTAGTTTGCCTACACCATTCTTCTCAACGTTATCATCTAATAAAAAACGAGACGCAGGATTTATCATGCTCCGAGGGAGCCCTTTCAGTATCCGAGATGAGTACCTTGAGAGTTAAGGAGACCAGACCACTCGCTGTTCACGATCCTAGCACAGCAGGGAAGGCGTCTTGCAAGAAAGTAGGAAACAGTGTAGAATGTTAACAGGAACATAAGCATGGACGACGAGATGAAGATGCCGCCAGAGAACTACTTTCGAAATCCGTGTGGAATGTAACCAAGAATCACTAAGATTCTTGGTTACATTCCACACGGACCGCCTGGTGCCCTGTAGTACTACTGAGCCAGACCAAGGCTCAGTAGTACTACAGGGCACCAGGCGGCACTTTACTGGGCTCACTACATTCCGCCTTAAAGCATTGGAAGAAATTTCAAAAGGGGAGTACGCCGGAAGACGAGAATCCCACTCTGAACGATTTGAAGCTAAAAGACTCAGTTAGGCGAGATCGAGAGGTTTCTCAGCAATATGTGATACCCAAAAACGGCAAGATGAAGAAGATTTTCGTTTCCAATCAGGGTTCCCTGGATGTGCCCGGACGTCTGAATGGATTCAATGGTCTGTGGCCATTGTCTCCCCTTACATGCGGGTGCTCGGACAGGATTTCGGACATGACGACCATAGACCACAGAGACTCCTACGAGAGTGCGTAGTCGAAGAGAGGTGCATCAGAGGTAGAGGTGGGTAGGCGAGAGCCTTCTATTAAAAAGTATAAAGTCTCCAGGTATATTTTCTCCGTCGTTAATCATCAAACGAGTCATGATTTGATTGTTCCATGTTTTCTAAACCTTCCTGGTGGGTGAAAGGAAATCATTCGGTTTTAGATCTACTTGTCATTAAAATTTCGGCTACAGCCGTTTGCTGATTGTTTTTGGCAGCAAACTGTAGAACGTGGACTTTTGATCAACTTGAGGTCTTACAGTATTTGACCGATTATTAGAAGGTAATTACAAAAAACACTTGAGTGTAATGGTTTAGAAGAAATCTAATAACTCGGACATTCATCAACAAGAGTTCCTCTGTTTCCAGTTTTGAGTCGCTTTTCTCAAAAGTGTTATTTAGTACTGGGCATTTGACGGTGGAGCACGGATTGATTCGCTCTTGTCTTCTTAAGTTTTAGTATATTTTACACGCACGTTTTTCTTGTTAATAGCCCTCAGATTCCAATGAGTTTACAGTGCCTCCCAAGGATTTGCGCGTACAAAATTCGTCACATCTGACAGTGAGTAAGGTGTACAAGGTCACTAGATTTTTTACTTCTTTGAGGTGCTCTTGCACTCATTTGAGCTGAACGCAGGGTATCCAGATTACTTTTGAACAGTGTATTTATTGTTTTCATAATTTAAAGAGCACTCTTAATCTCAAAGATAAAAGTTGTGTAGGAGGATTAAATATAGGTGTTCAAATGCCTGAATTTGAGGGTCGTGGAAGCGATTCCGGATTATGGCAGACGAGTCTGCAGGCTGGAGGTTCTGATCTTGCGTATGAAAGATATAACATGTTTATTATATTTGAAGTCATATCTTTAACACTATTTTTTGGGTACTATATGAAACAATATCTGCCAACTCCTTGGTGAGATTATCATCATTCTTATTTAATAGTCATCGTTTGATTCCATTTTTTTTAATCATAAGGAACTATAACTACCAATGTATTCATAAAGAGTGAAGAGGCATCGTTTATATTCAGAAATATCAATTCATAACTAAGTCAAGGTGTGTACATAGATATATAGGTGTCATCATGTAATATTTTAAATGTTGGGATAATATGCAGACTGTTGGTTTTATATAGGTCTAGTATCTCAGATGAAATGGTACAAATTTCGCATGTGATCATAATGGTGGTATGAGGCTAGCCAAATCATACCACCTTTGGTTATTCACTTCGAACATGACGTTCATCTTGTTCTAAACTTCTAAGTTCCCTGCGGGGAAGGGAGTCCGCGAGGGAAGAGCCCGATGGTCGAGCGGGGCGACCTAAAGCGGGGAGGCCCTCCCTGGAGGAGGTCGGGATGCGGGCCCGGGCGGGCAGAGCTCGCGTTCCCCGATTATGAGGAGCCCTTAGTGACGAGGGTGGGCCCCACCACCCCCAAACCCCACCGGACGGACGACAGAGCCCTCGCATCACCGATTCTTCCATTGTAGCTGGCAGCTGCTGGACCGAAATCCTCATCTTCGATCTCCAAGGCGGCGACGATGTCACCTTGCTCTTGCATGCTGGCCATCTCGACCTTCCCCCTGCACACTCTCGACTGAGCTGACAAAGGTACGAGAGAAATAGGCTCCTGAAGATACTTACGTCGTAAACTTCAACATCTCCCTCTTCTCTAGGACAGGAGCTCAGGCTCGGAGCTTCCAGCTTCATCAATATCTGGCTTGCATCACTCCCACCTGTCGCTTCGTACCTCGTAATGTATAGAATTCATTGTCTTTGGTGGCACCCAAGGCGACCGATCGAGATGTGGAAAGTAAAATGGGTGATGGTGAGAGCCTGAACTGTGTGATTGAAGTCTTCAGTCCTTGAATCTATTGTGAGGGCAAACTGTTCCTTGATCAGTCTTCAGAGCAAGTTAGCAGTAGCCGGATGGCACAGAGTGCGTGGAAAGCGATCTGACCAACAGTAAAATCGAAGTACTGATATGAACGGCCAAAGCTCGAAGTATAAATAGGACACTGTACTCCCGAGTTTAATTCGAGAGGCAGCGCATGATCATCCTCCAGCACATGATGTCACCCCGCCAGCGGATGAGACTTTCTTGTGACGAGAAAATAGTACACAAAATCATTCTTTCGTGTCTGGGGACGGTTCGGCGGGTTCCACCGATCCTCATCATTCTTCGGACGTTTACGAAGTTCGAACAAGTGTTATATAATTATCTATCAAAGATATTAATGTAAAGTCATGGAAAATTAAAATCAAATGAAATGAAAAATGAATTTGCATTTTTTCTATATGCTAACCCATTGGTAACATGTTTGTATATTCTAGAATTACTAAACAATTATTTATGTTTTTTTTTTTCATATGTTATATTTTGATTCAATTTTACAATATAAAAAAATATTATTAAAAATAACGTATTCAAAAAAAGAAAAAAGTTGATATAATTTAGAAAAGTGTGTTAAAAAAATTAATTGTTTGAAAAAAAACTTATTCAAAAAACTGAAAAATTTCTGCAGACACAAATTAGAAAACAGAAGAATGAAGATTTTGACCTGCGTAAGAAAAGTAAACAGCGCCCCTCTTACTTTTGAGTTCCTGCAAACCAAATGCAATGCTTCGGTGCAACAGCAGAGGAGAATGTGTCAGATTAACACCTGTGTTTGGAATTTTCAAATCTCGTAGTAACCAAAGCACGCCATCCCAACAATGCACTGGAGTCAAAGTACAATTCTAACGAATCTTGCATCTACGAAAGTTCAAGAAGTGAGTGGTGATCTACGTACAATTCAAAACGGAACAACTTCGCATTTCAACCCAAACCCACAACTAGACCGTGTCAACACAGACCAGAAACGCTTGACGCCTGAAGTGAGAAATGGACTGGAAAATTTGAATGTTGAAAAGAAATTCAGAACCTTTATAAGTAAGTGCGCTGGTTTATCGAACCATTTCAGAAGACAAACGCTCAATTTCGGACCTTGTCGATCAACAACAGAGCTGTCTGTGATTGTAGAGTTGTGCAAACTGAGCAAAAGGTCGGGAAAGAGGATGTCTCAGATCTCATGTTTTGTCTCAAATTTTAAGTTTAACTATAAAGCAACCGTGTAGTAAGACCGGAACGAAACGGTTACATGAGAGATACTTTTACCTAAATTACAAGATCTAATCGAAGAAAGTTCCAAAACATCGCGAATAGTTGGTCGTTGCTTTCTAGTGATCACAGCCTTCAAACTTCAATATACGGTTTGCCAATTTTCAACCAAGAGGAAAGCGTTGTCAAAATGTCATTTAAAACCAATATGCTAATTTGCCACATACATCTTTCTCTTCACTTTCAGAAGCTAGAAGGAAGCAACAGCTCTCCAACTTTCATTTTGAATTTTAACGGAAAACCACCGTCACCTTTCCGTTCCGAACCGTGAGTTTACGACGGTCACACAACTTCATAACGGAATCCACAGCAAATCGCAATCACCTCTCTATATAAGGGAGAATCATCAGTTGTCCAATTCACCGAATGACTCAACAAGGAGAACCCATGTGCGTAGTCAGAATCTGTACTTTCCCATCAGCATGTCACCCACGAAGTTTGCTGTAGTCCTTCGCAGAAATCGCAGAAATCTCTGAAAGCGCAGTTGCACCCCTGTAACATGAGTCCTTGGCATGCCAAACAGGATATTATCCGTCACATCTTCCTCTAACGAAGGCTAACAAGATAAGATAAGCATCTTCACTCTCTTGTTGCTTTTTGTGTCTGCTGTTTTTCATGACGTGATTCTGTCAGATTCTGTTGAGGGCGTAGTCCAAGGGATGTAGCAATGCATTCAAGTGGAAAGAATGTCTCGTTGTGACCTGAATATCCTACCGCTCTCAATGACTAGACAGATGTGGCAGTACGGAGTTGTTTCTGATAGCAGGCATCCTGTGTATCTTAGTACCTTTAAAGACGATAGGGATTGGTGTTCTTTAGTAGGTATGGTAGTCTAAATTCATTAATTGGAGACATTGATCCAATTGTAAAGATTTCAGTTTGAAGGATCATTGTTTCACAAGTGTATTTGTGAGAACAGTATGGTTAAATAGGGTTCATGGTTATCTTGGTATACTACTCGGAGACATTGATCCGATTATAAAAGTTTTCATCTATAGGATCATTGTTTCATAAATTTATTCTTAAGAACGGGATGATGATATAGGGTTTACGGTAAGTTTAGTGAAGAAGTTGGAGACCTTGATCCGAAAATAAAGATTTCAGTCCAAAGGATCATTGTTTTCTAACTGTTTCTTTGAGAATATTTTTGTTATGTAGGATTTATGGTATATTTAGTGAACTAGTTCGTGACTACTAGAAGTATTTTAATCTAAAGGAGCATTGTTCCATATCTTGTTCTGTTAGGATAGTTTCGAGCCTGTTAGTTTAGATTAGATGTCAGGTGGGAGCATGATGAATCCTCATCTGAGATTCATCAAGCTTGTAATTTTCTTCCTATTATAAATAAAGTAACTCCCGTCCCGTCTTGATTTCTCTCGTATCAAACAATAAGGGGAGGGGTCTGATAAAGCTCACTTCGTACTTCGAAATTAGCTTCCATATCTTTTCAGTCTCTTGCATACGCTCGAAGTTAGTATATTACCAACTTTCTTCCAAATTTTATCCCTCAAAGATTGCTTTGGAACTGAACTGCAGTGAATTGGACAACTGATGATTCTCCCTTATGAAGAGAGGTGTCTGCAATCTGCTGTGGATTCCGTTCTGAAGTTTTGTGACCGTCGTAAACTCACGGTTCGGAACGGAAAGGTGACGGTGACGGTGGTTTTCCCTTGAAATTGAAAATGAAAGTTGGAAAGTTGTTGCTTCCTTCTAGCTTCTGAGAGTGAAGAGAAAGAAGTATGTGGTAACTTCAACATATTGATTTTAAACAATATTTTGACAAAGCTTTCCTCTTGTTTGAAATTTAGCAACCCGAAATGGAAGCAGATTTGGTTTGAAGGGTCTTGTTTTGGGTTTGTGTTGACACAGACCCAAAACCAAGCGTTTCTGTTCTGTGTTGACACAGTCTAGTTTTGGCTTTGTGTTGAAATGTGTCGAAGTGGTTCCGTTCTGAATTGTGCATAGATCACCACTAACTTCTTCAACTTCCCGGAGATGCAAGATTCGTTAGAATTGTACTTTGAATTCAGTGCATTGTTGGGATGGCGTGCTTTGGTTACTGTAAGATTTGAATATTCCAAACACATGAGTTAATCCAACACATCCTCCTCTGCTGTTGCAGCGAAGTATTGCATTTCGTTTGCAGAAACTCAGAAGTAAGAAGGGCGCCGTTTACCTTTCTTCAGCATCTTCATTCTTCTGTTTTGTAATTCGTTCTTCTGGTTTCTAATTTGTGTCTGTAGAATTTGTTCGGATTTATGACGTGATTGTTTGTAAATTATGCCAAAAATTTTTCAGTTATGAAGTTATTGTTTAATATCACTACCAAAATAACCATACATTTTACTAATCTATCTAAGCAGATACACTATGACAGATTTAAAAAAATTCGTTCTAGACTCTAAAATCAATACGTGCGAACGTATCTTGCAATATCTGAACAAAAAACACTTACTAGACGTACTATGCCACCGAACAGAAGGGCTTGGAGCAGCTCCTTTGTGTTTCCCACCCTTGAATGCTTCTGCTGTTTGTCTCGAAGAATACAACATTCCTTGTTGATTAACTCATGTTGGGCCCTACTGCATCAAAAGTCATGGTTTTCGTTCAGCCCTGTGTGTGAATGATGCATCCCACTTATCGTGCTCGGCAACGCATCGCCAGCAGTCATCATCAATTCACGGAATTGATGATGAATCCGTAAACTTGTTACAGTAAACATTCGCTTAAGTCCGCAACTTGATCCGGGAAGTCTGGTGCGGACTTAATTGAGATGCGGACTTAACTCCTCTCGACCTCCGTGCGTCAGTTTGTTTCTCTCTTCCTCCCATCCTGCCTTCGGTTTCCATCTCCCATGCAGGAAGCTCAAGCAGAAGTTGAAGAAGGGTTAGCATCTCCTCGTTTATCCTCCCTTTCTCCCTCCTCCTGGCGTGGCCTCCACTTTGTTGCGAGCAGGGTTTGAGATCGTCTCCCAGTGAGGAGTTAGAGGGGCGCCAGCACACTTCACTCACTACCTTCATAATGCTTTGCACTTGCTTCGGAGATAGGCAGGTGGTTTGGTGGGTGAAGACCGTCGACAGCTTCTATTTTGCTCAAGGAGATTTGGAGCATTTGCATCGCAGCCAAGTGAGACGTCCACTTCTATTTTGCTCAAGGAGATTTTATGTAAAATACACTCTTGAGAATTGATCCAGGAATTTAACGTTGTGAAGTGCGGACTTAATTGGGATGTGGACTTAAGCCAATGTTTACTGTACTATGACAAGCAATGATGGTGGGCTGAGGCCATTCTCCATGCTTAGGTCTACACGAAGAGCATCCATAGGACGACTAATCATCTTCTTCTGAGCAGAGATTACCGACGAAGATTCAATCCCGAGGGTCACCGAGAACCGGAAGGATCCAGCAGTTCGCACTGCGGATCACGTACCCTAAAAGACACACATCGTGATACTTTAGCTGCTGCCATCCTGGTTCTCGCCTCCTGCTCTCGTACGATCTAGTGTCCGCCTAAACCGTCCCCACCCAAACTACTCGTCCTAGCTTGCCCGCTACAAATCGACCCGTTCGTTTTTTGTCGTATGCTAATAAATGGAGGATTATTGACTGATGACTGAGGGAAGACATGTAACTCTCCTGCATTTCCAAAAGACATCCCAAATTATTTTTTTCACATGTAATGATACAAATATATAAACAAACATATTTTGCATATCCAATCTTGATGATGAAATTGATCTTATTTATTTTGAGTTTTTTATAAGTAAAATGGAACAAACATATACATTTATTTGCAATAGATGCGAAGAAATCAATTCAAAATTAATGTAGAAAAAAATTTAAATAGAAAATGTAATTTTAATTATTTTCTTCATTTCTTGGGTATATATTGATTTTTATATGCCTGCCTGTGTGATTAGGCCGTCTTGAAGAGGTTTGGTGGCATCATTGTCTACTCTAATGGATTGGTTCATTAGTGGAGTGGACGGGGTGTCCTGAAGAACATATTTGATTCGATTGTGGCTCTGGTCACCGCCGAGGGAGCTTATCATTTCGAGCGATTCAGCCTGAAGTCGACCCTGGGTGGTTAGTTGACCAGCGAAATTTACTTCTACACTTGGAAACACAGCACGGATGTAGTTCATCTTCTACGAGACGGGACCAGGTAGGCACATGGCTCTACGAATCCCGCATGTTATTCATCGAAGGCATGGTGCAAAACAATACCAAAGCCAAGGACAAAGCTGCACATGAAGCACAAAACTAGATCAGGACCAGTGCACAACGGACGCCGCTAGTTGTTACAGCTCTGTACGAGACTCTGGCAAACAGATCATACCCACAGGTACCTCTGAATTCGACATCCTTTTACGTCGACCGTGGAAACTCGCGATCTTGCAGAAGATCACAAACCATGCGGAATATCCCTTTTCCCAGAGGCTTTGAAAATCAGGACCAACTACCCACTCACGATAAAACGCCGGTGCTCGTCCGCCGAAGATTAATTACAGCGGACTGGACCCGTCCGCAGGACTGCGATCGTCATTCTCTTCTCTTCGCGTCACTTCTTCGCGGCTTTCGACGTCGAAGTGGCAGCAGCGTCGCCCCCGCCGGAAGCAGCCGCTCTTGCCTTCTCGGCCTTATTCTCCTACAGAGCTTTGGCGTCGCGCTCGCGACGTTGATCTGCAGTCTAGCCATCGTCCTTGCCGTTGCCTTTGGCCGGCGCCGTCGCGGCAGCCGCTCTCGGTCTCGATCTCGCTGCCAGCCTCTCGTCATGCTCTCGATTTCCTGTCAATGTCTCCTCGGAGTCCACAATTCGGAACTCGTCCGACGATGGAGCCCGAATCGACCACCACAGCCCCACCCTCTCCGTCCCTCTCATTCGCTCGTTCGTTGGCTTCCAAAGCGACTACGACGATATCGGGCTCTGAGCTCTGATATTCTATCGGGCTTTTGTAATAAATCTTATTCAACTGTTCAAAATTATGCATCTTCTACACATATCACGAGTGTGGAATATTCTATCTTCACTAACTTGGTCTTTGTACAGCACGAGGAACGGGTTCAAGTATGGCACTATTGCCGTACTCAAAACTTTGCACTACAAGTTTTACTCTCATAAAAAACTAACCAATAATTTCACTCATTTGCTGCAATATTTTGGTAATTACACATATGTATTAATAACATTGTGACAAGCAGGAAGTATCTAAACATGCTTTTATCCCCTTGTTCTTGACGACGTTCATAGTCCTCTACTCGACGGAATTTGAAGAGACTAATATCCTGGCCTATGTAGAAACTCATGACTAGAGCAAGTGAACATCTAAGCTTCCAGCGTCCTCGACGGTATGTACAATTTTGGCTATTGAGAATACATCAGCCAGTGCCATAGTTGTTGTCAGCGAACATGACACCGGCTTGGTGAATTTGGATCAGCACCCGTCCGAGGTCCCTGAAGAGAACAGTCGACATCGCTATTCTCAATCGCTACCATTGAAGATGACATTGATCGCCCTGTCAGTTCAACCTGCAGTATACTGGAGAATTATGAATACTCCAGTACTACAATTTCATTCTTAGCCTTTAACATCGTACAGAAATCAGGACTTTAAGTGATGAAAAGGATATTTTTATGCATGGTTAGGTACCGAAGGTGAAAAATCACGTTTTTGGCTTATCGTGAGGGGGAGCTGATTTTTTTGTTCCACCCTACTATCTACTATCGTCCTTCGACGATATCATGCCTGCACACATTTAATAGTTAGAATCTGTGCAGTTCAAAAGACCTTCATTTCGGTGAACTGATTTGTCCTGAGACTCCTTTACCTTCTCTTCGGACTTCCTGTTGTTAGTATATAGTGATCAGATTAGGTTAATTTGTGGTGTTAGATCTCCTTTGTCTTCTTACCCTTCCTTGTACGCTGGTTGATGTTCTCGATCATCCTAAGGGATACTACTCTCACTTATCAGATATTGAGTTCAGCTCCTACTTCCAACACTACCAGTACGTCCTCTTCTCTTCTCTGGGAGAATCCCCCACTTCCTATTACAGATGTACCTGATGCTGTTTTATCCACTCCAGCTCCTCGTTTGCTCCGGGCGCTGGAATGATCGCACACCAAGGGTCATGGGTTCCATGCGGTAGATATCCCCTTTCATGAAACTCATGGGCTGCGCGAAAAGGAGGTTTGGGTAAGAAAAACATCATGTCTATTTGAGCCCAGTATTTCGCCACCTCAAGGTCTTCACCTTCCTCCTCGAAAACGAAGAACATATCACTGCCTCCCGAAGCATAAATTTTGAAAGCTATGCCTCCATAACCCATAGATCTCTTGTACTCCTTATCAAAGATCCATCCATTCTCCGGACCCGTAGGAAGTGGCCATCATAGCTCCAATGATTAGACTCCACATCAGTCCAATCCATGGCAAGTAAGCACACACATCCTTCATAGCGCAACAATCTGAAGGGCATCTGGCTTGTCTTCCATGACTTCCTCTACCAAAACAATCCATGTTTTTTCTCTCAGATCAAATATCAGAACAGCCTTAATCGTAACCCTGGGATCCCATACGAGCCAATACAAACATCCACTACATACTACACATCTCCCACGATGCCTCTCTTCTTCTATCAGGTTTGACAATGTAGGAAACGGATGAATAATCCACGACCATGTACTGGGATTCGTATCGTAAATCAAAGATCCGCGTCTATCTGGGACTAGAACTCCTCCCAAAACCAGCTTGAAGTGTTTTGTTGATTGGCCCACGACTATACCCACCATCCTTGAGTAATATGTTGATTTATTTTCTTATTGACAAAAAATATTTTACTATTTCAGACCAATAGTAACTTAGATTCTTATTGCAACAATCATCTCTCAAAATCGAAAGGGTACTATATAAGTTGACACAAGAGGCACACACATGCAAATCTGATCACAAAATACATTATTGTGATATGTAACCAAGGGAAATTATCTACAATCTTATTTTATACTACATCTAACCTCCTCTATCCTCCGCATCCCCGCGTCTCTGCTGCTGCTGTGCTATATACTCTTGCTGTCTTATCCATCCCTGCCCTGCACTTACTCTGGGACTTGGAATTATCGCAAACCAAGGGTCGTCGGGGATCGGAGCGTATTGAAACCGATTGCGTGAGGGAAAAGGAGGTTGGGGTAGAAAGAATATCAAGCCCAATTCAGCCACACATCTCACCACCTCAAATTCATCGAACACGAAAAATGCATCACTGCCTCCTGTGGCACAGAAGTTCAAAACTCTGGGAGAATTTAGAAGACTTTTATCTATAAAACTCCTGATAGCAGCATCATCCATTGCTTGGTCCATGTTCCATTTTAATCTCCGTCTCCTGATCGAAGTTAGATCATACATATCTCTAGCTCTCCTCATCAAAGCTCCATCCATTCTCCGGACCATGGGATTCCGGAGGAAATTGGTGACATTGCTCCAACGATCAAAATCCTCTTCGAGAGGAGACCAATTACTGTCGAGTAGGCACACATGTCTTTCATACGCAGCCATTTGAAGGTCAATTGGCGTGGCCTCCATGGATTCCTCTAACAAGGCGTTCCAAGTTCCCTCTTCCAGATCAAATATCAAGAGAGCCTTAATCTTGCGCCTAAAGGGATCCCCTACGAGCCAATACAGACATCTATTACATTCTACACTTCTCCCACTACGCCACACATCTTTGATCCGTTCAGGAAACGGATGAATTCCCCACGACCATGTACTGGTCGTCGAGTCGTAAATCAAAGTTCTGCGTCTATCTGTTGCGACTAGAACTCCTCCCAAAATAAGCTTGAAGGTTTTTGTAGATTGGTCCACGACTAAACCCATCACCTTACACTTCAGCATACCATCAATTACTGTATGTTCTCCATCGATTTCACGAGGTACGTTTAAAGGCAGGATTTTGTCCGGAACTGGGTTATACATGATAAATGCTGTTGAAAATCGTTCACCGAAACACAGAAGGCCTCCATCAGCAGCGACCAGCACATTGGGCCTAAATGTAAGATTCCTTGTTATCCATCGATCTGTACAGCAGAAGTAGGCCCTATTTTCACAACTTGCATTGAACCCAATAACAGATTCTTTCCATACGTGCTTCCATAACTCAGGACCATCTATGATTTCCTTCCATTTCTTACAAACTGAACGACATTCAAGAAGAGTGGAAATGGGCAGATCATGATCTCTGAGAATCTTGATCAAGTAATCAATAGGTAGAGTTTCCCATGCATCTTGAGGTTGATGCTGATCTCTTTCCGGTTCCATTCTAACGAACGAACTTTGAAAAGATCATACATATGAGCCCACCTCTGAATCTGCAATCTGCAACATCTCAGAAGGAAACAGTACTCATTCAACTCAACTGTGATTTAGCGTCGACAAAAATTCCAACGTGGATTGAAACAGATGGGCAAAAATGAAAATAATTGTGTGTTTCAATATCTGCATACATACGTGGGAAGCAGCTGTGAAACTTGAGAACGCTGGCTGCAGAAGTGTGGACAAGAGAATTGTGATAACACTGACGAAACAGTGCATTGTCAGAAAAGGGACAGTGAACGGGAAAGAAATTCCCGTCACTGAGGTTCCGAACTATGAAGTCATCGACCGAAACACCGACTGGTATCAGTTGACAGTTACTTGTGCATCGGTAATTTCAGCATGTCATTTTCGATTTGGTGTTCGTTTAACTGTCAATTTCACAGTTTAAAGTATAAGCATACTATTTACAACTTCAAAAACATTCCCTCAACAGTACTCCATGGGGGTATCTTTCGAATTTTATTGAGAGTATGAAATACAATTTGAATCTAATTGTAATACTGAATTTAAGCATTTTGTCAAGAAAAATACGTTCGAACTTCAAAAAATGACTGATAACTCTTCACCTCCCACGTGGGGCATCTAAATATTGTTCTTCACTTACTCTACATTTGTACTTCTTTCGTTTAACGATTGCAGAACGTAACGTCTTCGAGAGCATCATCTTCGGTAAGTGCAGTTTCTCAGCTTCAGTTTGGGTAAGCTCATCTGAATTTTTAGTATGACACTTGTATCCGCGTGTATCAATATTTCATTACACTGGCGTCGGCTTGTGTACTGATGCCAGGCATGGTAGTGTTTTTTTTTGCTCAGAACGCTTTACCATACGTCGGCTTGGGTACTGATGCCGGCATGGGAGTGTTTTTTTGCTCAGAACGCTTTACAATACGTCCACACGCTATTATACATACTTCAATCAGATTTGGATATCTATCAGGTACATCACCGAAATAAATTATCTTTGAAACTGCATTAATTTTAGTGTACAATAGGTCCATCATGTCCATGTATATTCGTTAGGTGACTTCACAACCTGCTGCTTATGGTCGGTAGGTCGTGATCTAATTGAGAGTTGTGAGTGGATGTGTGGTAACCCACTTTTTGTTTTTGTGCAGAATTTAAAACAATTTTGGAAAACAGTACCGCAGTGGACGTGTAAATGGTGATCGGTACATTTAAATAGAGTGAAGATGGATAATTGCGGGTCTCGTGTGATCTCGTAGTAACCAGAAGTTGGGCGCGATGTCCGGAACAGGCGCCCCGACCTGATTGATCAATTCTGAAGGAGTTCTCCTTTGGCGCAAGGCACATAATACGCCTTCAGCGATACGCCTTTGGCGCTAGGGAAAATCCCTCAGAGCTTATGCAATTCATAACGACTTGACTTGGTTAGGGTCTCGTTGGAAA